GTGTCTCTTTAACTCTTACCAATTTCTAACAGGCCACATCCCAGGCTGGCTGTCTTCCTTTCATGTCAGAAAGGCCTTTGAGGGCTTTAAGTAACAAGACAGAGACAGAAAGGACAAGGCTGTCCCCAGAGTCTGCCCATAGTGTTCTGGCTCTTAGGCAGGTGGCTGATGGCCTCTAGATTAGACCAGTATAGAGTGATCCTCCACTTGTCCCATGGGGTCAGTTTGCCTGCCTGGGAGTAGCAGGAGTGGTACAGAGGGCTTGAGGAAGGGGCCCTAGACTTGAGCTAGTGGTGGCCTGGTTCTGGATATAGTAGTGACAGCCCTCACATGGGGAGTAGCACCCCCTTAGGTGTGTGTTTCCAGGTGAGGGGACAACTATGTGCTGGTGGCCATAGAGGAGCTGGGCTGAGGAATGCCCTAAAGATAAGATGGGAGGCTTCCAAGGGGCCCAGAATCTGGGTTGGGTGAGGTGGCCTGACCTGGCAGATACACAGAAAAGGGAGCCTAATTCAGGCTGGAATGGATGGCCCACCCAGGAGAAACTGGCCAGAGGCAGAGTGGCAGACTCCTGCCCAGCCATAGGGACTGTCTCACATGAATCTCTCCTCTGAGGGGTCTGATGATAACAACTGTCTCTTTACTTTCCTGGTCTGGCCTCTCCTGGACTGTGCAATTCTTCTGCCCAGGCCACCTCCTGAGTCCTGGTGACATGCTCCCCTGACAGCCACTGTATCTTGGCAGCTGGAGACTGCTAGTCCATTGGCCCACAGGTCTTGCTAAGGGGACATGCCAGTGGTCTGCTTGTCTTCACCCTTCTTTTTTCTCTCTTTTTTGCTTGCTGCCGCTAGCTGGACCCTGAAGCTGCCTCTCCTGCCCACAGCCAGGTAGGGTGCTCCTATCCCCCTCAGAAGTTCTCCGCGTCCTCCAGTGATCACCCACCACCTCTGGCCTGTGCCTGGGCTGGCGTCTGTGCTCGGGCCTCATGCTGGAGCGTAAGGCCTCTTTCCCCTCCAGGCTCCCACCCTGTGTTGGGGTCGGGGGTTGCCCCTGGGGAGGCAGTGCCAGAAGCAGAGATGGCTAGGCCCTCGGGGAGCATCACTAAATGTTTGGCCTCTGTGGCACACAGTTCTTAACCATTGGAGCCCAAGGCCAGTTGAATTCTTTGTGTGTGTACCCACTCTCTGGTTAGAGTCAAAAAATCTGATTTTCTCTCTCCCTGGCTGGAGAGAGATGAAACAGCCTTTGTCTCCACCTCCTGGCCAATGTGAGATCAGCTCTGAAAGAGTGAGTGACAGGTGGTGGCCTTTGGATGTCCTTCCCTACACCTGGCCTATAGAACATGCCTGTTCAAGACAAAGGTTTCACCTGTCTCACGTGATATGGAAAAAAAAAACAAAAACAAAACATTGTAGTGATTTTTAAAATAAATTTGTTTATCTTAAAATATTAAAAATAGCCTTTTAAAATGCCCTCACTTTAACAAATCAGAACACTGGCAACCTCATAGCCATTATCCTATTAAAGGATAATTCCCCTGGTCCAGTCCTCTTCATAGCTGGGGAAAGGGCCATCTGCACCAGAGGGGTTTATCAGTAGGACCCAGATCTCCTTTTCTTTCAACTCTAAGAAATGTGACAAAGAACATAAATCCCTCTTGTTATGTGTTCTTATCTTTTCCTGATCCCTCACCCAGGAAATCATTATCACAAAGTAATGTCTATGCCTCAGTATTGGGTCTTATAAGAAATATGAGACATCTAGAGTGAGAGTCTTTTTGGTGACTAATTGTTCTTCCTAGCCAGTGCTCCCCAGAGGGCTGGCCCTAAGGGTGGCTAGCCCTGTTGCAGGGGCCACTTAGTGACTTGGCTGCCATTTTGTCTACACATGACAAAAGAACCTGACAGGCTGTGGCCCCTGCACTCCTTTCCGTTATCCCTGCTCCCCCAGGCACCATTGCTTCCAAACTCAAATGTACTTCTTAGGAGACACCAGGTTTGATTGCCTACACCTTAACAGTGCCTATGGATGCCTGTTTCTTGGTGACCATTTTGGGCCACCTTGGGCACCCAGTCCCTTTGCACCCATTCCTGTGTCCACCTGTGTGGCATGGGAGTACCTTCCTGAGTTAGATGAATAAGTGCCATGCCCCCTACCCCCAAATCTGGTCAAGCTGCCTTATGCCCTTGTGGCGCATTAATGTGTTGACCAGATCTGTCAACTGCTGCCTTCCAAGCAGGGGACTTTGCTGACCATAACAAGGAGGAGGAACAGAGAGTCTGGCATGTACCCCCGGGCACTGTCCCCTTGCCCAGATAGTAGTATCCTCAGATCCGAGGCCAGAGCTCAGGACCCACCTATCATTCTGTACTATAAAGTCCTAGGAGGACACTTTTTTTTCAGGTCTGGAGAAGTGGCCTTTCTTAGCATGGTGAAAGAGGCCTCTCACTTGGCTTGACTTGGCTGTAGCCCAAAGTTTAGGTCTTGGACTCAGGATACTGATTTCACAGGCTTGGCAGGGAGGAGGGGCAGAGGGCGGCTGCTTTCTTGGGCATTCCCTTTGTGCCCTGTACTTCCACATCCTCAGTGCTGGTATGGTCCCTACTTTGACGTCCTTATTCTTAAGATTCCTCAGATCCAGCACAAACTGGCTTCCCCATCCTCCTTCTCTGACACCTTTGATGTCCCTTTATTCTACATCTGCCACCTAACTTTTCTCCTTGCCCAGTGGCTCATCTTGAAGCCCTTTCCCTCACTTGCCTCTCCTCTCCTATTGTCCTTGCCTGTCTTCCAGAGCAGAGTCTGACTATTTGCTCTTCCCCTCCCTCTGATAGGCCAAAACAGAGGAGCAGATTGCAGCTGAGGAAGCCTGGTATGAGACAGAGAAGGTGTGGCTGGTCCATAAGGATGGCTTCTCTCTGGGTGAGTCTCAAGAGGTTGGGTACATATCTTGGACTCTTTGGGCTTAGGGCTGGCAGCGGATGTACCTCTGGGTCTGGAAAGGACTGGGGGGCAGGGGTGAGCAAGGAGAGGCTAATGACCCAAGGAGAGGAGGGGAGGACCTAGAAGAAGCCAAATGGGGTAGCAGAAGCTTCCCAGGCCCATGATCAACTGTCTGTGCCTTTTCTGCAGCCAGTCAGCTCAAGTCGGAGGAGCTCAGTTTACCTGAGGGGAAGGTGCGTGTGAAGCTAGACCATGATGGAGCCATCCTGGATGTGGATGAGGATGACGTAGAGAAGGTTTGAAGGAGGGAACAGGAGGGAGGGCAGTGGGCAGGACAGGACAGGCCTGTCCTTTTTGGGGGAGCCAGGATCTGCTTCTTCATTGCCCACCTGCCTATTCTGTTCCATGCAGGCTAATGCTCCCTCCTGTGACCGTCTGGAAGATCTGGCCTCGCTGGTGTACCTCAACGAATCTAGTGTCCTACACACGCTGCGCCAGCGCTATGGCGCTAGCCTGCTGCACACCTATGCTGGCCCCAGCCTGCTGGTTCTCAGCCCCCGTGGGGCTCCTGCCGTATACTCAGAGAAGGTGCCACTCCTTCTAGGCTACTGTGCTGACTTGTGGACCTACTCACCCATCACCCACCCCACTTCCCCTTGCTCTCTGCCCTATCCCTTAGTATCCAGTGGGCTCCTGTCCACTCATGGTTGACCTTGGGAAGAGGAGTTATTTCAAAGGGTGGGGCAGAAGGATCTTCTGCAGACTTTAATGCAGTCTAGGACTTGACTAGTATCTACATTTCCATGCATACCCTTGGCCTCACGGTCCCTGGGTACCCCTGGAGTGAAAATTCAGAAAAAAAATGTAGACCTGGGGGTGAGGGGTGTCCAGGTGGAACCAGCTAAGAGCCTACCCCTTCCCTCCATATTTCTCCTAATCAAGGTGATGCACATGTTCAAGGGGTGCCGGCGAGAGGACATGGCACCCCACATCTATGCTGTGGCCCAGACAGCATACAGGGCAATGCTGATGAGCCGTCAGGACCAGTCTATCATCCTCCTGGGCAGCAGTGGCAGTGGCAAGACCACCAGCTGCCAGCACCTGGTGCAGTACCTAGCCACCATCACAGGCACCAGCGGGAACAAGGTGTTTTCCGGTGAGGCAGGGATAGCTGGGAAAGCAGAATAGATGAGGAGGGGGGTCAGGAGGGAGGATCCTCCTAAGTTGCAGCTCTTTTTCTCCCTGGCTTCTCTATCCCCTTGAAACCCTTCTGTCCCTGGGCATTTCTGGTCTGATTAGCCCCAAGCCTTCATGCCTCTGGAGCCCACAGCTGGGGAAAAGCTGTCCCTGGCTTTCCTGATGTCCCCTGGGCCTGTGTTCTGCAGTTGAGAAGTGGCAGGCTCTGTACACCCTCCTGGAAGCCTTTGGGAACAGCCCCACCATCATGAATGGAAATGCAACCCGCTTCTCCCAGATCCTCTCCCTGGACTTTGACCAAGCTGGCCAGGTGGCCTCAGCCTCCATTCAGGTGAGGGGGTGCTGCCCAGGCCTTAGGGTAGTGGGAAATGGGCTGCTAGTTTCATGTCCTAGAAATCATTTTATATCCAGTGCCTCATTTTCCTAGGATTTTGTCCCAATTAAATGGACCTGGCACAAGAAGGGCTGGTCTTTGCTGCCCTCTAGGCCTCCTGCCCAATTTCCTTATCCCTCTTGATCCTGGGGCTGTGCCCACTGTGTGAGATCCATGCTCAGGGCCTTCTCTCAGGCTGATGTCACCAGGTCCAGAAGAGTTTATCAGTCAAGTAAAGCTCAACCAAGGTTGACCTCCTCCCATGCTTATTGAACTTTCTCCCTACAAACATCCATTTCTCCAGAAAGGCTGGCCTCTAGGCTCTGGGCAGGGTGACAGACCTACAGGAACTGGGCTCATATTCTTCTACCTACCCCTGGTTTCTGCCTCCTGTTTGACCCTGGCATGACCTGGCCGCTGGTTGAGCACCTTGGGAATAAGCTGCAGCTACTTATTCTTAGGGCCAGAGGATCAGAGTCCTGGTTCCTTATGCTCTGGGGTAGGAGGAGGTTGATCCACCACCACCCTCCTTCCTCATCTTGTGCTATGCTACAGACGATGCTTCTGGAGAAGCTTCGTGTGGCTCGACGCCCTGCCAGTGAGGCCACATTCAATGTCTTCTATTACCTGCTGGCCTGTGGAGATGGCACTCTCAGGTGAGGTTGGACAAGGGTGCAGGAGGGGCTCGGGACTTCAGCCCATGACTGGGCTCTTGGACCTCACTGACTGGTTACCCACAGTGCTGTATGTTCCTTCTCTACTGAGTGCCAGCCAGGCTCTCAGCTGGGCCTGGGGATGGTGAGATGAGGGAGACACAGGCCCTGCCCATCAGAGTTCCCTGGCCTGGGCACTGAGTCCTTGCTGTATGGGAGGGCTACAATAGACCCTTCAGTGTTCCCAGGGCCTTCCTGAAATCTGTTACCCAGTAAGACAGGTGTGGAGCAGAAAGCTCACCAGGATGCAAGTGGTGGGTGACTTGCTCTCAGTCACACACTAGTTTAGGGCTAAGCTGGTATGAGTCCACCCTGGTTCCAAAAGCCTAACTCTTCTCCAGTGCCCCCAGGTGGCCCCCTCTGCCCTGCTGGCTGCCCCTGCCATGAATTTCCCTTTAGACCTTCAAACTTGCTGTCTGTTCACTAGACAAGGATAAACGATGGGGCCAAGCATTGGCCCCAGACATTATCTTCTTTAGCTCTTCTCATAACTGAGGCACAGTCTGTCCTGGTGGGACTTGTCCTTCAGGCACGTTCCCTGCTCCTTTCCATGGGTCTGGCTGGACCCTCTCTCCAGGGTCTCTCGAGTTACCTGTCCTAGAGAGGCTGGTGCTCTTCCCAGGCATCTAAGCCAAATAGGAAAGGTAGAGCTGGAGTCTGGAAACTGCATCTGTTTGTCTCCATCCTGGGAGGGAGATGGTTGTGGCCCAGGGACCAAGCCCCTTGCTGATGCCTCATTTGTACCCCTAGGACAGAGCTCCACTTGAACCACTTGGCAGAGAATAATGTGTTTGGGATCATGCCATTGGCCAAGGTGAGGGGGCAGTAGGGACTGGATGGCAGCCCTGGACCTTGGGTATAGGAGGAGTCTCAATAGTACCCCATGGGTGGCTGTACTCAAGGTCTGCCCTCCCTGAGGGTCCAGCAGCATGGGGACATGCTGGGAGCCTCTCTGAAGTCTGACACCAGTATGCCCATCTATCCCTGCAGCCTGAGGAGAAGCAGAAGGCAGCTCAGCAATTCAGTAAGCTGCAGACAGCCATGAAGGTGTTGGGCATTTCCCCCGATGAGCAGAAGGCCTGCTGGCTCATCCTGGCTGCTATCTACCACCTGGGGGCTGCAGGAGCCACCAAAGGTAACCTGCAGTGGAGTCCCAACAACCTGCCTCATTTCCTGGAGGATGTTGTGGAGGCCCTGGCCACTCCCAATTTGTTCTTGCCCTGCATAGATTCAAGTGTTACGAGACTCCCCTCTGTTGCTTGTGCCCCTTCTTGGTCCCTGAAATTATGGCAGAAGACCAGAGAAGAATTTCTGCCAATAATGGCCTGAGGCGTGGTCATAGTGGCAGGCTGGGTACACTGTGAGGAATGGGTGGTTGGGCTGGGGCTGAAAAAAAGAGAAGATGTTCTCTTGGAGCAGTCCCTGGAATAACTTTCCTTCTTATTCCCTTCCTAACAGAGGCTCCCGAGGAGCAATCGGGTAACTGAACTTGGCCCGCCTTGGGGCATAAGGGCTGCCTTGCCCATTCTTGGTGCTACCCCGGGCTCTTTTGGGGGGCTGGGCTCATTCTCTCATAGCATAGGGGACTGGTCTTGGGAAAAGCCCCAGGGTTGACGGTAGAAGGGGAGCCTGCTGGATGTGGGGCTTCTTGGAGTCCCTGGAATAGCTGCTTCTCCAACATGTTTTGAATCTGGATCCTAGAATATCTCAGGATGCTAATGCCCCCGATGGGGCTTAGATGGGGTAGGAGAGGCTTGCTTCCTGGGGCTTCCTGAGGCCAGTTCTCTACAGTCTTCTTCCCTTTGGATTTGGTAGCCCTGGTTCTTGGTCTTGCATGTCAGGGTGGAGGCCACTAGGGGGCAGCAGGCACCATAGTGACAATGGTTTCTGTCAGCTTGTGAATGGCTATGGCTGGGTCTTGCTTGGGAGAGCTGTTGCTTTTCTGGGAGATAGCATCAGAGGGCCTCTTTACTCGCTTTCTCCTGCTGTTTAGGGAAAGGAGATGCTGGCTCTGAACAGCACCTTGCGCTTTGGCTTTGTCTTTTCTCTGGGTACAGAGGGCCCCAGTGTGCACAGCAACAGTGGGAAAGTGGTGGTGGTGTATGCATGAAGGAACAGGTATATGGGTGTCCAACCCCTTATAATCCCAGCAGGTGGCACACATGCCAAGAGGAAGCAGGCTCTTAGTTAAAGAAGTTGTCTTCAGACATTATGGGCAGGAGGGTGGACAGGCATATGACTGTGTTCTTAAGAGTTCTTTACTGTAAGGGGTTCAAGCCTAATTTCCTCTGATCCTCCTCTGTAGTGACTGTACGTGGAGTGCTTTGAGTGCTGAGCCCTGTTGTTATCAACTCAGAGCTTACAGTACTTTCCAGAGTTGTGTGTGTGTGTGTGTGTGTGTGTTTTGGGGTGGGGCCTACACACACACACACACACACACACACACACAGAACATCATTGCAGGTCTCTTTCTGCAAAAAGAGTCAGTGTGAAGACATCCACAAGCATACTCCTTTGAGACTGTGAATGTGTGTGTGTTTGTCTCCAAAGCTAGATGTGGTTGTGTTTTCTTGCCTGCTCATCCTTATAAACCCCTACCCCCCACAGTCCCTTCCTGTGGGCCTGGCGGCTCAGTTGATGACTGTTTGCTAACACACTGTTTTTCTTTGCATGCTGCATGCTGGTCCTTTGCCTTACAGAAGCTGCTGAAGGTAAAACCTTGTTTCTTGTTAGCTTTCCCTAATTGCTGTGATTAGACACATGTTGGCTGAGGCACATATATCTGTGTGGGCTGTTCCCTTTCCCCTGTGGCTGTGTTGCCTCCCCCACTGTTTAGCCTTTGAGATGTCTGTGGTCTCCCCTGGGGCAAGATAAGGAAGAGAGGGGGATGCTAATGCATCCAGGAAGGTGCATGAGCTAGTACTCTCTCATGCTATATTTACCACAGGCACAAGTGTTCTTCTGACTTTGTCCTTCTCCAACCCAAGTTGGGCATCCTTGGAAATAAAGGGATTTTTGCAGCCGACTGGGTACCCGCTGGTGGCAGCCTGTGGAGTTGCCTCCTTTTTTTAGGACCTTCCTATTATTTCCACCCCCAAGGGACACATGAAGTACTGGCAGTGGCTGGCACTCCATATTCCCATGAAGCCCACTGGGTGTCATTAGGGCTAGCTTTTGCCTCCAGAAGATGCCTGCTCCCCAGTCCTATGGGAGCAAGGGAGTCAAAACGCACAGTGGTCATCAGTCAGCCTAAGGAGAAAGACCCAAGATGCCAGATCCTTATTTCTACCCCACAGCTGGGCGCAAGCAATTTGCCCGCCATGAATGGGCCCAGAAGGCTGCATACCTGCTGGGCTGCAGCCTGGAGGAGCTGTCCTCGGCCATCTTCAAGCACCAGCACAAGGGTAGCACCCTGCAGCGCTCCACTTCCTTTCGTCAGGGCCCTGAAGAGAGCAGCCTGGGGGACGGCACAGGTACCCTAGCCCCTTGCCTGGTAGATGTGATTGGGAAGCCTTACCTGGGGCTTGTTGCCATTCTGGAGGTGGGAGGGACTGCTGGAATGAATAGATGTTCCCATCACGGGGAGAGGCCCAGCCCCAGGACCTCATGCTGGGCAGATGGAGTAGCCCAGGAGACAAGAGATAGAACCGATCCTACTGCCCCATAGGTCCCAAAATGAGTGCATTGGAGTGTTTAGAGGGCATGGCATCTGGCCTCTACAGCGAGCTCTTTACCCTTCTCATCTCCCTAGTGAACAGGTGAGTACCAGGCAGACCCCATGGGGTTCCCCGCTCCCTGCTCTGGCCAAGGTGGTTTGATGGCTTTGTGCCTGTATTGGCTGAGGTAGGGCCATCATCCACCAGCAGAGGGCTCACTGTCCCTCTGGGCCCTGAGGTGAGGCAAGTCCTCTCTACTAGGGCCCAGGGTATCTGGGCAGGGATGGGGATTTGCTGCATGTGATGCCAGGGGCAGATCACTGGGGTCTGCTCTGTGGCGTAGCATTGGCTAGCTCTGATTCAGGCTTTCCTGGTGAAGGGCTCTCAAGTCCAGCCAGCACTCGCTCTGCTCCATGATGATTGTGGATACTCCAGGCTTCCAGAACCCTGAGCAGGGTGGCTCGGCCCGTGGAGCCTCATTTGAGGAGCTGTGCCACAACTATGCCCAGGACCGGCTGCAGAGGCTTTTCCATGAGCGCACCTTTGTGCAGGAGTTGGAAAGATACAAGGAGGTAGTTCTCTACCCCACCCTGGCTGGCCCCACCTCAGCCTCACCTTCTTCCCAGGACACCCCCAGAGAGGTCCTCTGTGAATATAGGAAGTCACCACCTTCCCTGCTGCCTGCTTCTTCCTAGCTCTCTACTCCCTCTTTATTTCTGCCTCCTTCTGTGCTATGGAGTGGGAATCTATTCCTGCCCAGTGGCCCCAGCCCTTGACCTTGGCTGAAGCCTTACTTCATGGAAAGTGTGCTTTCCACAAAGCTGAAGGCACACTCTGGGTCCCTGAGAGCCACTCCATGTCCTTCTTTAAGACACCCTCCTGGGCCCTGTGAACTGCTACAGGGGAGTACCTGCCTCCAGATGTGTCTGGCCCAGTCACCACCCCCACCCCGGCTTTCCCCCAATCTGATAGGATGGTGGTTGATGACTTGGGGTCTCTCCCTAAAAGGGTGTCCTAGATGGGATCTGGAAATCCTTCCTCATGTGCAGGTGAATTGAACGAGCTGAGGAGGATATTTATCTTGGATTAGAGAAGACTTATGAAAATCACAACAGACAGTTATATTCATATGTCAAGGGTGATTATGAAATGGAGAGTAGGCGTATATTGCATTGTCTAATCAACTGATTCAAATAACAGGAGAATGTAACTTTGGCCTAGTATAAAAAGAGGTTATGAGAATTTTAGCTGTCCGGAAATAGCATGTTACCTTGGGAGGTAGTGAGCAGTTTGTCATTTGGGACTCTGGTGGGAGCCCCTGCAAGAAATGGGAGGTTGGACTTGCTGTTCCCAGAGGCCCCACCCAACCTACTCATATGTTGTGCCCTGACACGGGATCCCCATGACTGTGCTCTGCCTTCTTTTCTTAGGAGAACATTGAGCTGGCGTTTGATGACATAGAGCCGCCCGCAGATGACTCGGTGGCTGCAGTGGACCAGGCCTCCCACCAGTCTCTGGTAAGAATGCTGGTGAGACCTCAGTAGCCTCACCTCTCATCTCCCACTCTTCTGCCTGGAGTAGAGCCCTTTCTGGCCGTGCTGCCGCTGAGGCTGCCATTGTGGGCCAAGGGAGGACCCAGTCAGGCCCAGACACCAAGTGCTGCTCCTCAGCACTCATAGCCTGGCCTGGAAGATGGCACTTTCTTCTGCCTGGTGCAATGGGAGCTGGAGTGCCAGCCAGGCAGGAAGATGTAGCTCCTCTCTTACCAGCTGAGGCACTGGTCTGCTTTGGGGTGAGGACTAAAACCCAGAGGATGTAGTCATTGCTTTCCATTGTGTCCTCAAGAAGAGGACTGATGCTGCCTAGCAGAGTGGAGCAAGGAGATGGCGCCTGCTCAGTCAGGGAAACACCAAGCTATAAATGCCCTCTGGGGGGCTTCCATGGATGTGGGCCCTCACTCCTCAAGTGAGCCCTTGCTCCTCAACCTCAGAGGCTGGCTCTGTCACCCTTTGTACTAGCATTTCTGGTACCTTAGGTGCCTGGGGCACTGGCTGGCCTGATGAGCACTTGGCATTTGGTGATTGCCTTCAATTAGGGGAAGTGCATAAGGTGCTTTATTGGAGAATGAAATTTTTGCTAGGCTGCTGAACTCCTTCTTCTGCTTTGATTCCTGCTCTGCTCTCCCCTTCCCGCAGTAAGGCCCTGCTGGGCTAGCAAAGGGGGTGGGACTTGGGGACAATGAATCTCCCTCAGGGACAAGTGCTTAAAGTGCTCAAGTGCTGTATCTCCCCAGGGAAGTGGATTTCCTTTTTCTGACACCTGTGTTCTGTTCCCATGTGGCCTCCTGAGAGAGCCTTTGCCATTCCCTGAACACAAGAAGTATTTGTACATATGACTCATGAACAGCAAGGAGTCAGATGTGTATGGGCCAATCTTTCCCTTCCTTGGTGTCCCTATCTGATGGGCCTAGGGAAGGGAAGGGGCCCACAGTGCCACTCACTATCCGATGGCTTCATTGCTTCTTCCTGCCATTCACCTCTAGCTACTGGAGTCCTGTTGTCACCCACAAGTCCTTGGCTACATTATGCTTCCTTCTGGTTATCATACTGACTCCCTTAGGCAAGCTGCAGTGAGGACATGTGGGTACCTGGGGTCGAAGAGAGGGAAAATATCACTTTCCCCATTTTTCTTGTCCTCAGTCCCTAAAGGCCAGGCGAGAATGTGGTGTGGGTCTGATTGAGTTCTTTCTAAGGAAGGCAGGGGAATTCCATAGAAAAGGCACCTTCAGGCCATATGTAGCTATAGGCCTAGTTTGCATGATCCTCAGGGGGTATTAGAAATCAGAATGCAGTATTTTTACCTTCTCTTGAAAACCAGATGATTTATTAACACTAGGTTAGTGCTACTCTAGGACAGCAGCTGAGTGGCAGTTGTTAAATGAGAACACTTTCTTTCTAGCTTGTTCCAGTCTCCACTTGTTTTGGCTACCACATCCACGAAGTCACCTGTCACACACTTTTGGCCCTTCAGTTTATACCCTGCGGGGATACTGCAGCAATTTTCTCCTTTCAGGCACCAGCGTGAACTCCACAGTTGTCATTTATGGAGAGTTTCCTTTGGGTCATGCACTGTCAGAAGCTTGCTGACTTTATCCCACTTAATGTGCCAGGGAGTGAGGGCAACATGGGCCTCACAAAGCCCCTGTACCCTCTGACAGGAGGAGAATGGAAGGGAGCCTTTGCATAAGAGCTCAAGTAATAAGTCTTTGGGACCTTTGGACCCGAGTGCCAGGAATCATCTCTCTTTCCTGGCCCTTCTTTCCTCTCATTACTGGCCTCCTCCACAAGGTGTCAGCATTGAGTGGCCAGAGCTGCATTGTGCGGGCGGGCTGTGTGCAGTCGTTTCTGGTGTGTGCTTGGGGCCAAGACTTTGGCTCCTCTCCCACAGCTCCATGTGGCAAGCTAGGATTTCTTCCCTTCTCCACAGGTCCGTTCGCTGGCCCGCACAGATGAGGCAAGGGGCCTACTATGGCTGCTGGAAGAGGAGGCGCTGGTGCCAGGGGCCACTGAGGATACCCTCCTGGAGCGCCTTTTCTCCTATTATGGCCCCCAGGAAGGTGATAAAAAAGGTAGGTGGCATTTCTAGAGGATAGCTCCTCTGCTTCCTCTCTAGAAGACCTACCTATGTGGGTCCAGATAGTACACCCTGGCTCACCAAGTCCCTGGGCTGTATGCCTGTCCCCTGACAATATGAACCTTGCTTTTGCTCACTCTTAGGCCAAAGTCCCCTTCTGCGCAGCAGCAAACCACATCATTTTCTCCTGGGTCACAGCCATGGCACCAACTGGGTAGAGTACAACGTGACTGGCTGGCTGAGCTACACCAAGCAGAACCCAGCCACCCAGAATGCCCCCCGGCTCCTACAGGACTCCCAGAAGTAAGGACACTATTCTGTCTATCCATGTTCTGTCCCCACAACTATTCTCTGGGCCCCCTTCCCATGGAGGTGTCCCAGAGGCCTCTCGCCAGCAAGGTAGATAGTCTTCAGTTCCTGAGAGGCAACAACCAAGACCAGTTGGCCTTGAGAGCATGGGCCTGGCCTTCTGGAATAGAGGCAGGAGGCAGACATGGTTGGAAATAGCTATAGTTTTCAATTTGAATAATACCCTCATATTCTTCAGACAAGGGAGAAGGAGCCTTAGAAACCACTCAGTTGTACAACCCGTGTCATCCATTCATTGCATAGATTATTATGGGACATCTTCTCTGTGACAGGGACTTCAAGGTACTTGGCAGAAAGCAGTGAAGACTATATAAATCCTTGCCCTTGTGGAGTTTGCATTCTAGTAGTGGGGGAGAGAGATAATGAACAGGAAATGTAATAAGTGAATTATACAGTGTGCTAGCAGATGTCAAACTCTGACCTCTCCTGCTGAGCTGGAAACCCACTGCCCAGTCCTCCCTGGCTGGGAGAAGAGTGCATCACTCCCTCTGCCCCATCCTTGCCCGTTCCTTGACTTCTGCCCACCTCAGATTTTCCCTTCTTGGTGTTTGAAAATATCTCTCTTGTTTCTCTGTAGGGTGTGGGACATGTGACTCCAGTCCAAATAACTCAGGCCCCTGGCCATAGCTGTCTGGGGGTAGTTTGGTATCCCAGCAGGAGGAATGGCCACTGCTACCCCATGAATGTGACTCCTTTTTCTCCCTTACCCTCCTGCCTCTGGCAGAAAGATCATCAGCAACCTGTTTCTGGGCCGGGCAGGCAGCGCCACGGTGCTCTCGGGCTCCATCGCCGGCCTGGAGGGTGGCTCACAGCTTGCGCTGCGCCGGGCCACCAGCATGCGGAAGACCTTTACAACAGGCATGGCAGCTGTCAAGAAGAAGTCGCTGTGCATCCAGATTAAGCTGCAGGTGGTGAGTATTCAGCCAGTCCCTTCCTTACCACTGGCAGGTAGGCTTGGGCACTCTGGACACACCCAGGCCGTCAGGTGCCCACCCAGCATCCCACCTTACCTGATCACTGCTGGTGGGGTTTACCTTTTAGCCCTGCTGCCTCTGAGTGGTCAGCCAGACCTGGGGAGGACAGAGTTGTCCAGGCTTGGCGTGTCCCAGCTGGTAGTGGGACACCTGCTATCCTGTGAGCAGTGCAGGAGCTGGCATCAGTCCCTGCTCTCCTGAGCATGGGCCATCAGAGCCCACTGAAGGTGGTTCCTTCCCTTTTGGCAGGATGCCCTCATTGACACCATCAAGAGGTCCAAGATGCATTTTGTTCACTGCTTCCTGCCTGTAGCCGAAGGTTGGGCTGGGGAACCCCGATCCGCCTCCTCCCGCCGCGTCAGCAGCAGCAGCGAGCTGGACCTGCCTCCAGGAGACCCCTGTGAAGCTGGGCTCCTACAGCTTGATGTGCCTCTACTCCGTGCCCAGCTTCGGGGCTCCCGACTGCTTGATGCCATGCGCATGTACCGCCAAGGTAAGGCACCTTCTCGTTCCATCCTGGGCTCCCTTTCCTGGAGATTGCTATATCCTGCCCTGCCTTCCAGATGGGACCCAGGAGCTGCTACCCTCCCTCTCAAAATGGCTCAAGGTCTCCTTTCTTGCGCTCCTTCCTACCCTTGTGCCTTCTTCTTGAGTCTCTGTTCTCACCTCTCAGCCCAAAAGTGTTCCTTTCTCTATTTCTTTCCACCTGTGACTCCTCTCTTCCTCCTCTCCCTTCCAGATTTAAGTATTCATTAATCCTCTTTCTTCCCCGCCCCCCATGTTCCATTGTTTTTTCCCACATCTCCCTCCTTTGACTAGTCCCTAGTGTGCAAGAGTCAGCTCTCCCTATAGCAGTAGACCCAGTGCCCTTTCAAAGCCATCTGTCCAGGGAGACGCCAGGTACTAAATCTCTCTGAAGTACTTAAAATTCCCAAGAAATGTCAGGCATACCTTTTTTATGGACCCAGCAAGAGAAGGGAGAAGGGGAGGGCAGTAGTAGTAGTATACCATCCTTAGTGCATTTATAGCACACCAGCTTCTATTCACAACTCTTCCACACTTTAATTCACAACAACTTCTTGAGGTAGGAACTATCATCATCTCCAAATGAAACTGCAGCTTAGAGAAGCCAAGTAGCTTGCCCGAGGTCACACAGCTCATGGATGGCTGAACCAGATTGCATCCAAGCAGGCTGACTCCACAGTCAGGCCTCTCAAGTAGGGTTTTGTTTGCTCAAGAAGTTAGGAGTAGCCAGCTTTCTGCTTTTTCCCTAGCTAGAAGAGCAGACAGGATCTTGTCCACCCACAGCCAGGTCCCCTTGAGATATCCCTATGGGCACCATCACTTTTCCTTAGCAGCCAAAGCAAAGAAACCGGCTCCCTGCCCTGCTCTAAATAAATCATTGATCTGTCCCCACATCTTGATATGGAGTTGGTGTTTATTATTTCAAAACCAGATTGTTACCGCTCTGAACCAAAATCAATGTGCTTTACTCAAACAAGCAGATCGATGAGGCCAGCAGCGGCAAGCCCCCCCCATTCCCCATTCCCCGGCCCCCAGCCACCATCGATAGCACTGATGATTAATTAAGATGCCAAGCGTCCAGACCTGCTATCCCGGCCCATCAATTTAATTGCAATTCAGATACAATCAATAGCTCACTTTGTCTTGGCCTCTCAGCGGCCCCCGCCTCCTGTTTCAATTATCAGGCACATGCATCAGCCTCATCTCCCAGTTGGAGGGTTTCCCAGAGCTAGCTGGCCGGCCTGGTGCAGCAAGCCCCAGCTGGCCGACAGGAACCCAGGTGTGAAGTCCAGCTCAGCTTCAGCTAGAGCCTCCATGACCTTGGGCAAGCTGTTGCTCCATCTTTCAGGCCAGTTTCCTTGCCTGAAAGATAAGGTGAATTTGGTCTAGGACCCTTTTCTGGTTTGAAATACTATGATTCTGTAGGAGTAGCTCTCCTGATCCTCTACTATGGGCTCTGGAGAGACCAAGTGACAGGGGGTCATTCCTGCTGGCCCCTGTTCTGACCTTGCTTTAAGCCAGAAGCCTCTCACCCTTCCCTTGACTCTAAGCCCAGACATTCTTTTTTTTTTTTTTTTTTTTTGAGAGAGAGAATTTTTAATAATTATTTTTTAGTTTTCGGTGGACACAACATCTTTGTATGTGGTGCTGAGGATCGAACCCGGGCCACGTGCATATGCCAGGCGAATGCGCTACTGCTTGAGCCGTCCCCAGCCCTAAGCCCAGACATTCTTTAGGGAAAGAATATCTACTAGTGTTTTTGACCACCTGGCCTAGGGCTCAAGGTCAGGGTGGGGACAGGGAGCAGAGCCCTATTTGACATCCTACTTCAGCAGAACAAAGGAAAGGAAAGGAGTATTTTACTGAGCATCCCATCAAGCTGTGCTTTCTACATATTTTCTCATTTTAGTCTCCATGACTACCGTGCAGTGTAAGTGCTAGGGCCTCATTTAAAGGTAAAGAAAGTAAGACTCAGAGAGGTGGAATGATTGGCCCAAGGTCACATTTTGGTAAGAGGCAGGGCCAGGATTCCAAGCCCTTGGGTCAGTTACAATCTTGTGTCCTGTTGTTTTTCTTATTGAGTGAGTCCTCAAGGCGTTGGTCTCTGCACTTGAAGGGTGGTTTTACACTTGAAGGGCTGCAAAGCATCCTAGAAGTTACCCAGGTCCCCTCACCCATCCTTCCAGGTGGTTAGTGTCACCTGATCCCCCTTACTTTAACCCTTTTTTAATCTTTCTGTCCTGGTGTGGAGCAATCCTGATGGTCCCCTGGGCCTCCCCTCCTTCAACTGTCCTTTCTGGGCCTGCCTCAGCTGCAGGTTCCCTACCCCTGCAGTTTCTCCCCCTTTAGGTGACTCCCCACCTGGCACCAGTGACTGTTGGGCCATGCTGGGAGCAGGCAAGTTGTTAAAGACCTTACTGTGGGCCGTGTCCTCTCTCTCTCTCCAGGTTATCCTGACCACATGGTGTTTTCTGAGTTCCGCCGTCGCTTTGATGTCCTGGCCCCACACCTGACAAAGAAACACGGGCGTAACTACATTGTGGTGGATGAGAAGAGGGTAGGCCTAGGTTCCCAGACCACCTGCAGACCCCTCTCACTCGCTCAGATCCCTCTAAACAGCTGCCCTTCCCAGACTCATCTGCCCTTCCTCCTCTGGAGACAGTGGGTCTGCCTTTGCTCAGGCTCCTGGTTTTGGTCAGCAAGGGTTAAGACAGGGACACTGCGTAGTGGAGAAGGCAGTGTGGGGCATGTCTGTAGTAACTGGAGAGGAGTTACCCTCCCTGGAGGCTGAAGCTGGGGGTGTGTGCTCTCTGGTGAGCTAGGCAATTATCCAAGAGTGAGTAGGGCCAGGGTCTCCCAATTGGCTGATTAGGTGCTTTGGGTTCCCTAATGATAACACGTAGGTCCCTCGGCTTTGTCATTCATGGATCTGGTCCCTGCGTCAAGAAGCTGTCTGAGACTGGGGCCAGCTCTTCCTAAGAGCAAGGTTGATATGGCAAGACCTCCTTGGTGCTTGGGTTAGTGTGAGGCTGCTGGGCCTCTGGCCAACCTAGATTGATAAATTTATAACTACGGAAGGGGGTGTCTCTGTCATTCAAGGCTGTCACCTTGACCCCCAGGGGCAGCTCCTCAGGCAGCCAGAGGGCTTCTTGAGCAGAGGAACCCTCCTTCCCTCTGTATTGGCCTCAATCACCCAGCACTATTCTGGGGGCACTCAACCTTAGGAGGCTTCCCTGCAGAATGGGAAGGATGCCCCGCAGTGATGCCCAGATGTTCCCCAAGTGTCCCCTCCCCTTGACCTCTGAGTCACAGACCCACAATCATAGAGCCCTCAAAAACCTTTGCTCCATTCTTAGGCCTGCCAGTGTCCTAGGAGACCTTGGTGTGACCTATCTCATATCCTCTTCTCACTGTCCCTTTAAAAAATTTTTTTCATTTGCTCTTTTTAGATATACATAACAGTAAAGTGCATTTTGACATATTGTACATACATGGAGTATAAGTTATTCTAATTAGGATCCCATCTTGTGGTTGTACATGATGTGGAGTTTCACTGGCCGTGTATTCATATATGAACGTGGGGAAGTTATGTTTGATTCATTCTGTTGTCTTTCCTATGCCCATCCCCCTCTCTTCCCTTCATTTCCCCCTCTGCCCTTGACCCCCATTCCAGTCTCCCACTCATAGCTACACCCTGCACCTTGCCATCCCTGGAAATGCTCCACTTCCAAAATCTTAAACTCTAGCATGGCCTTCTCTGAATATAACCTCCTACCTGTGGTTCTCATTCTTCTCTTCCTCTTAGGACAACTGCTCTTTGAAGCCATCAAGACCTCTAATTTCTGGACCCCACTCTATTCTCTCTATTCTCTCAATTCTTTTCTGATTTTTCTTCCTTTCCCTTTCAGCCTTGAAGCCATGGTCCAACTTGCCAGTCACTCAGCCTTTATCATCCCCAGCTCTCCTGAGCCTTCCATGGTACCTGCTCTGCCAAACCCCTACCCCCAAAGGCCAGCCTTTGTGCAGCTACGCTCTTCATTTTAAACTCCCAAAGGTTGTGGGAGAAAATGACACAACCATGTAGACTTGAATTCCTACAGATTTATGGTCTTCAGCCTTAGGTGGGCCTTCAGGGTGGCCCAGCAAGTCTTCCATCTGTCCCATCTTTATCTGGCCCTAACCCCAAAATCCCTACCTGCTTGCTATTCTTTTCTTCATCTTTCTCCTCAAAATTCCCTCCCCAACCCTCCTATAATCTTGCCTTCAAACTCCAATAGAATCAAGCTTCTCCTCTTATCATCTTCAAACTTCTCTTCTGCCTCCTTCCCCCCACTCACCCCTCCTGTGTTGGTGGGAGAGTACCCCTTCTCTTTTGTAGTTCCTTCCTCTGTGCTTTGGAATCCACCTCTCCCCCAGGGACCATTCCATCAATGTTAACTCCTCTCATGCTTCAGTCTCTCTCAGTTCTTCTCGCTCTATGAAGAAACATTCTGTAGACTTGTTCTCTGAAAGGAATCTCTTGTCAAGCCTCTCAGGCTGGCCTACATTCTGTCTCTCCCTTGTCCTGTACCATCAATACTTTCTTCTGCCAGAGTGGAAGCGCATGTCTGTAATCCCAGAGATGGGGCTCGCTCAGGCAGGAGGATCACAAGTTCAAAGCCAGCCTTACCAACTTAGCAAGGTCCTAAACAACTTAGTGAGACCCTGTCTCAAAATTAAAAAAAAATAAAATAAAAAGGGCTGGGGATGTGATTCAATGGTTAAGTACCCCTGAGTTCAATCCCCAGTACCAGAAAATTAAAAACAACAACAATAAACTCCTTTCCTGAGCCCTCATCCCAGCCACCATCCATTTCTTTACCACAGCTGCCTGGTCTCCACTCCTTGGTACCCTGGGACTGATTTTTCTCATCTTCTCATTCCCTCCATGTTGTCAGAGTCAATCCTTCAGTCACTTGAATTCTTGGCAACAAGTGACTTTGCTAATGGCTCTCTTCTTTTTGAAACCATCTCTGCTCGCTTCTTTGTGGCCACTCCTAGTTTCCCCATCTCTGTTCTCATCCCCGCGGAGCTGCTCCACTTCTACTCACCCCCTCAGTGAGGTCTCTCTCTCTCCAATACTCTCTTCTTGGCGGTATCTGTTTTCAATTCTACTCCCTCTTCTTGGACAGCCTCATTCACACCCATCACTTCAATTACCGCATATATATTGATGACTCCCAGATCGATACCTCAGCCCAGGCTTCTCTCCTGAGCTCCAGACAAGCCATTCATAGCCGCCTTTTGAACCTCTCTACCTGTGTTCCTCTTACACCTCAAACCCAGCATGTTCAAACCAAACTCATTCTCTCTCCTCCCAAACCCACTTCTTCCCTGTGTTCCCTGCCTTGGGAGTGACCCTATTATCTGTTTCATTACATAAGTCAGAAACCCCAGCGGTAGCCCTAGATTCCTCCTCCTTCTGTGCCCTCCACCCCTGTCTTCTTATGTTAGGGAGCTCCCTCTCCTTAGCATCTCCTGCATTTCCCTCCTCTCTTGCCTTTGAGGCAAGCTCTAGCCTCCTTTCCCATGGATTACACACTTTGGTCACCCCTTCACTCCAGGTGTTGTGAGGTGTGTGGAGCTTCCCCAGAGCATTCTGCCACCTTTGCTCCAGGCCTTTGCTCCTGCTAGTAGCACTACCTAAATTGCCCTCTCCCCTCTTTTCTCTAGCTAATTCTGCATGTATCTAAATTCTCAGCCCAAACAATGCCTCTTCCATGGTGCTTTTCAGGACTTCGATGCTTCCTTCTCTATATATTTCCCTTGTCTCACTCCCCAGAAAGACAATATGTTCCTCTTGTAGTCACCTCTGCATCCCCAGGGTCAAACTCAGTCTCCGACACTGCAGAGCCCACCAGAAGGGCTTGTAGGAATAAATAATGGACTGCCGGGAGGAGGAAAGGGAGGACTGAATCTGGAGCTGGGGAGGCACCGACTGGCCTCCTGACCCAGGCCTCTCTTCTCAGGCGGTGGAGGAGCTGCTGGAGTCCTTGGACCTGGAGAAGAGCAGCTGCTGCATGGGCCTGAGCCGGGTGAGTTGCTCTACAGGAAGGTAGTCAGGTCTTCCCTCCTTGGTGGCCTTTGTCAGGTGGCTGCTCCTCTCCTCCTGTTCTCCCTCTTCCTCAGTCAGGCTTCAGAAATCTTCCCGGCACCCTTCTGAGTCCTGCCTCACAAACTGCACAGACACTCAGAGGCTGCTGCTTCTTGCAAGGTGCCCATTCAAGGGCCAGGAGCCAGGGGTGTAGGTATTCTAGGGGCAGCAACCTTGACTTTCTGCCCTCTGGACAACGGGCTCGCTCTGGTGTCAGGAGGGAGTGGGTTGGAAGGTGGCCTGAGTCCTGTGTGGGGAGTGGAGGGACAGAAGGACTGGACTCAGAGGAACTGAGCCAGGAGAGACTGGAAGAGTAGGGAGAGTGTCCCAGAGGGCAGAGGCCCCATTAGAGAGTCTTCTAGGGGTGCCAGGGTTGAGAAGAGCAAGTAGGACATGGAGAAGCAGGGCTGCTACCATCTGCCCACAGGCCAGATTCCTCATCTGAATGGAATGTGATGATAAAAGGTAGGCACACCCAGCCCTGGGTGCTGTGTGCTATCATTCCACACCACAGGGTCAGCCGAGTGCTCCTTCCACAGGCAGAGAGCCCTGCACGCCCCTCTCCCCAGACAGGGACACTTGGACAGGCAGCGTTGGTGTATGTGCTCTGAGGGTTGAGGTGGAAGGGAGGGTAGTGGGGAGCCAGTTCTGGGCCCATCCTTCTGTCAGCAGAGAGGGAAGGAACTCTGGGCCCCAGGGCCTCTTGGGGAGTGGAAGGTGGAAGGAGGTACTGTGTGTTACTTGTCCCCTCTGTTCTCGGTCCTTCCTTTCTGCATTTTGAGTCAGGGTCTTGGTTTTCCTACCCTTCCTCACTGGGAATCCCTTTCCCCTCCATCCTTGTGTCTTTGTGGCTTCCCGTCTGCCATCTTTGGCTTTCTGTCTTCCTTTGGGCCTCAGCAATCCTTGCTGCTCTCTGTTTCTTACTTTCTGATCCTGTTTGTTCCTGTTTCTCTCTTTGTCCCGTGTCTGTTGGTGGTCCCACCCTCTTTTGCTGTCATTTCTGGTTTTGGTCTCTGTCTGTCACCTCCTTTGGACTCTGTTCTGTCACCTCCTCTCTGGTCACCCCCCTTCCCAGGCTTTTCTTAGGCCCAGGGACTTTCAGCTGGGCTTCCTCTCTGGGGCTGCCTGCAGTTGAGGACATGCCCCAGGCTGCTTGGTGTCTCAGAGGTAAGCTCTCACTCGGACTTTTCCACAGTCTACTGCCACTGCAGCCAGCTGGACAGCTGCTGGGTGACACTGGGATAGGTGGTACCCCTCCAAACAGGTTTCCAGGTTCCTAGGCATATCCCAGGCGGGAGTGGGCCTGTACAGACTGATCCTCTTCTGGTTGGTGTCTCAGACCTTCCATTCTGAGTCCTCCCTAAAGCCCAGCTAAGGCAGGGGAGCCCCAGGGCCCAGTCTTGGGGGCACAGCTTGGGGGCAAGGTTGAGTGTTTGCTCACATCTGGTTGGGTGAGAAGGCTCCAGTCTTATAGGCTGTGGGTTGTATCAACTGATAGGGGACAACTCTCTGTATGGTCATCAGTCTTCAGACGAGGGGTCTTCACATGAGCCCAGAGGGTCCTGAGGTTTCAGGCAAGGACTTGGGGAGCCTGAAAGCCTCCTGACATTGTAAGATTTATGTGAATTAGCTTTCACCTAATACTCAGAGGGACTCTCAGCCCCCAGGAATGTCCAAAAGAGATTTGAAGCTCACTGCTCTAGCTCAGGACCATTCTTTCTCTGTTCATTATGTTTCTGGGTCATTCTCTGTCCCCTGTGCTGGCATCTCCCTCTTGCCCTGGCATAGAGATGGCTGTGTGTGCTAACCAAACATGTTTGCCCACCTCCGGGGGGAACTGGATATTCCCTCCGCACCCTCTCACTGGAATTTCAGGCTCACACATTATGGGAAATTTAGGATCATGTTGAGCTCGATACCCATAGGAGACTTCACTTAGCCCTCCCTTGTGAGATTTGGGGAAGAGTCACAAAGGCCTGAGCTGGCTTTTTCCAAGACCAGACTCTGGGATGAGGCTTCTGTGGAGCTGCCAGAGGCAAAGCTTCCTCAGCAGAAAGTTTAGGCCCTCTTCCCATTTCTTTCCCAAAGAGGGTCTTGGGATTCATTTCTATGGTTCCGAGTACATTTTCATAACTTGGGTTTCCTGTGGAATTCCTATCTTCTCTGCCGCTGCAAAAGGGAGTCTTCCGTGTTCTGAGTCAGGTGTAGGTCCACACATACCAGGTGTGTCTCTTTGCCCTCTCAAGGGCACCGGAGTCTCTCTTCACCTGACCAATCCCCCTCCCCATTTCTCTTTGTAGGGAAATTTTACCTCTAGCCCCAGCTCAGAGCAGCAAGGAGTGAGCCGAAAGGCTGGGTGTGGGGGCGTCCAGCTGGTTCCTTACTCTCTGTCCTCCAGCCCCCAAACCTGTATGACGAGTCCCTTGACAGAGCCAACTCCCGCCCACCTCACTGGCTTCTTCATGAGAAGATGAAACCTGGGTGTGTGGGGGGTGGAGCCTTGGTACATGAGAGGACACCTCTGGAATGAAACTGAGCAGCAGGGCCAGAAGGACAGGAGCTTCCCACCGCCCCATCCCCCTTCTTCCTCATACGATGCTTCCTGGACCATCCCACACCCACACTTCACCATCCTCTTCACCTGGTCCCAGGCACCTGGAGCCAGTGGTTAAGATCAATAGTAAGGTCTGGCATGGGGGCATTGACAGCCACTGATGTGGCTGACAGGTGTCTCCTCCCTGTCTGACCCGTGGTGGCTTCATTTCCCTCCTTGCCCCAGGTGTCTTCCCTGCCTTTCATCTGCCTTTGATTTCCTACCTGGCTCCTCCTCCGGGTTCAAATCCTCCCCATCCCAGCCTGGCCCTTCCCCACTCACCCTCCCCGTGCTGCTTCCTGCTCCTTCTTGCTCCTCCCCTCCTCTCTTGGATAAAGTGGATTTTCAGGCTCTTCCCAAACCAGGGGCCACACTTCCTGACCTGCCGGCTCCCTGTGCCAGCTACTTATCCCTCCAGCTCCTCACCTTGCCTCCCTTTCCTTCCCTGGGCCGTCCTGACCAGTCTCAGGTGTTTACCTGGCTGCTTTTCCCCCACAGGTGTTCTTTCGGGCAGGCACGTTGGCGCGACTGGAGGAGCAGCGGGATGAGCAAACCAGTAGACACCTAACCCTGTTCCAGGCGGCCTGCAGGGGCTACCTCGCCCGCCAGCACTTCAAGAAGAGAAAGGTGCTTCTCTGTGGATACCCTACCCTACATGGGCACAGCTGAGTTCTGGGGGAGGTGGGAATGCGGGAAACATGTAGGACAGGAAATCTTGGGCTTATGGGTTTTCATCTGAGGAAGAGGCACCATGGCTACGTGGGATCTCCCATGGGTCTCAAGCTCAACATGACCCCCTCTCCCAAGGGCACCATGCCCTGGGCCAGGGTGGGGAGCACACTGGTATGCCCAGCAGCAGGACCATGCATCCTGGTTAGAGGGCTCAGTGGAGGGGGGGGTGGGAAGTAGGGCCCAGGCAAAGGTGGGCTCTGGATCATGGGCTGCTCCATGAAGATTAAGGAGCTGTGTCAGCGACTCCTTTTCTTATTAGCAAGTCCATAAAACAGCCAGCACTGCCGCCTCTTGTGTTTCAGCAAGATTAGGTTTTATAGCACAGCTAGGCCAGGGTGCTAGAAATAATCAGGCAGCAAATAAAGCAGATGAAATTATTCCTAATGACAGTGGAGTGGTTAGTGCCCAGTATGGTGCTCCCAGGCTGCCCACTCTCTGAGAGATGGAGGGAGGCAGGGGGCAAGGTGGGGATGGATAAGGTCTGACTCTGGGTCAGGGGGCCAGAGGAGCAGGCCCAGGGGCTGTGTTGGTGGTAGGTAAATTCCTTGACCTGGCTTGGCCAGGGGACTGAGAGCCATCCTCACCTCAACTGCAGATCCAGGACCTGGCCATTCGCTGTGTGCAAAAGAACATCAAGAAGAACAAAGGGGTGAAGGACTGGCCCTGGTGGAAGCTCTTTACCACCGTACGACCCCTCATCGAAGTACAGCTATCAGAGGAGCAGATTCGTAACAAAGACGTAAGCAACCACCTGGGCCCGGCTGGGTCACTGCAAAGAACCCACTTGTGAAAGGGTTTGTCTTGGGCTCCAAGATGTTTCTATGTTCCGTGAGCTGGTGTCCAGTGTTCTTAAACTATGCCCATCAAGCAGGTTCCCTCTGGGATTGTGCTAGGGCCCCTGGGTAGCCAAATTTTTTTTAATATTTACTTTTTAGTTGGACACAATACCTTTATTTTATTGCTTTATATTGGTGCTGAGGATCGAACCCAGGGCCCCGCACGTGCTAGGCAAGCGCTCTACTGCTGAGCCACAACCCCAGCCCCCACTGGGTAGCCTTTTGGGATGGAATCTTGGCATCCTCAGATTATAGGGAAGGGTCTAGGGACAGGAGCCACAGCTCTTCCTTTGGGAACATGCCTTCCCCATGTCCTAGTTGACCTGAGCTTCATCAGCTTTATTTGACACAGGTATACAGACCCAGGGCCCCAGCCCCTCAGAGTGCCCCACTTTGTCCTCCTTGCTTCACCCTAGGAGGAGATCCAACAGCTGCGGAGCAAGCTTGAGAAGGTGGAAAAGGAGCGAAACGAGCTGCGGCTCAACAGTGACCGACTGGAGACCCGGGTGAGTGATTGCTGGCACCAGAGAAGCGGCCCACCATCTAGGGCGCCCTGGTCTTCAGAAGTTCCCCTGCAGTTCTGGCTGAGTGAGGCAGGTTTTTCACCTAGGTAGTGACCCCCCCTCCCCCAACCCCAGATCTCAGAGCTGACATCGGAGCTGACAGATGAACGTAACACGGGAGAGTCCGCCTCCCAGCTGCTGGACGCGGAGACAGCGGAGAGGCTCCGAGCCGAGAAGGAAATGAAAGAGCTGCAGGTAAGGGCAGGGCCAGGGTGAGCCCTGAAGGCTAGTGACTGCAACAGTCTGCTCCCTCAAGGCCAGTTGGCATCTTCTCCACTGGCTCAGATCCCCGTCTGCCCTGGGTAAGCATGTGGTCTGTGGGGGGTCAGGGTGTGAGTGGGTCTAGGGGAGGGTCAGGATGTACACCTCATAATCCCCTCTCCTGCAGACCCAGTATGATGCACTGAAGAAGCAAATGGAAGTGATGGAGATGGAGGTGATGGAGGCCCGGCTCATCCGGGCAGCTGAGATCAACGGGGAAGTAGATGATGATGATGCAGGTGGGTCTGACACAGAGGAGCTGAGCAGTGGCCTGAGAGATACCCACCCAGATACCCACCCCTGGGCAGTTGTGCCCCTTGTCCAGGCCTGTCTCCCCTCTGAGGGCTATTAATAGGACTGAAATAAGTAGATGAGAAAATAGAGGTTCTGATAAGTACAGGGATTAACAACCATGATAATGACAGTGTCTGAGGGCCATCATCTTGGCAGTCCTTAGGAAGGGGACAGCGCATGTCACCACGGCACCCTCCTCTAGTCTTCTCCCTTTTAGTGCCCATGGCTCCTTCCTGCCCCTCCTTCCCCTCTGCCCCTTCTTGGGGATTCTCAGCACTTCTGTCCTCCCTTGTCTGCCCCCCACCCCACAGGGGGCGAGTGGCGGCTAAAGTATGAGCGAGCCGTGCGGGAAGTGGACTTCACCAAGAAGCGGCTCCAGCAGGAGTTAGAAGACAAACTGGAGGTGGAGCAGCAGAGCAAGAGGCAGCTGGAGAGGCGGGTGAGGCTGGCCAGGGAGCAGGAGTCTGTGCTTGAGAGGGCTGGGGCCTCAGCTCCATGTGTCAGCCCAGTGAGTGGCTCGAGGCAGGCAGGCCTCAGGAGGAATAGGGTCGGCATGTTGGCCTGTCCTGCAGGGACAACCAAGAGCAAGCTACTGTTGGGGCATCTTAGTTTCCCGCACCTCATCCCTCATCCTGGGATCTTCCTCTTTTCCACCTATCTCCCTCACCTCTCTTCACCAGTACTTATGGGTCTTTCAATGGCTGCTGACCTTGTACCTCATCTCGTCCTCTAGCTTGGGGACCTACAGGCAGACAGTGATGAAAGCCAGCGGGCTCTGCAGCAACTTAAGAAGAAGTGCCAGCGACTAACAGCTGAGCTGCAGGACACCAAGCTGCACCTGGAGGGCCAGCAAGTCCGCAACCATGAGCTGGAGAAGAAGCAGAGGAGGTGGGTGACCCCATGCCCTGGGCTCAGAGAGCCTTCTAGAGTGACTACAGATAGGGTTCCCTCATCCTCTCAGGGAGGAAAGGACCTGAATTTGACCAGGAACCTTGCTTGCATGGTCATTGGTCCTGGCATGTGAATGGGGACTCACTCCTGCCTCCAGTGATATCTTGGATCAGATCCCCACACTGAAGGCCTGCGTAGGCCTCTGCTCAGATATGCTCCTCCCGGTGTGCTCCTGTCACCCTGTCCCATGCCCAGTGAGGACTGGCATTAACCAGGCCCCATGCAGAACCACCTCATCCCTGTCCCTGCCCCTTGCCCCTACCCGGCTCTGTCTGCGTTGCTCTCACTTGCCTCAGCTACACAAACACACTCTCCTGACGAATGTCGTTAAACTACCGTGCCACTTCCATCTCATTATGGTAATGACACAAAGGAGGGGGGCAGCCCTCACAGGAGAAAATCCAATCTAAATTAATTTCCCTGGCTGGGGATGGGAATGGGACGCCTTTATTAGCAGCACCGAGGAGCCCACACACCCTGGGAACAGCAGGGTGCCCTAGGGAGCGGGAACAGTGCCCATTTCCCCTCTGCTGAAGGGCTTCTGGCAGAGGCATCAGTTGCCTTTGTGAAGGGCAGACACACCCCCTGTCCCGGGAGTGAGGGGGCAGTGTGGAGCCCTCCCAGCTCCCAACTACCAGGGTCACCCTGAGCCTCCCGGACTCCCTGCTGCCTTCCCTACTGGCTGTCACTCTGAGGAGAGTGAGGGGAAGTAGGAAGATTTTCTTTCCCTCCCAGCACATGATTCATGTCCCCCATTCTTATCTTTACCCCTACTCTGCCCTTTTATCCAAAGACTGGCACCCTTGCTGGACCCCCCTCCTGAGCACCCTAATGACAGTGCCAGCTTGGCCTAGTTACCATGTCACCACACTCCCTGCTGGGCAACTTATTAGGTTTCAGCTGCCCGGAGTTTTCTTTTCTTTTTTTATTGGGGGGAGGTGTTCAATTTCCACAGAAACCTGATTAGCTATTCAGAGAAGGTGTTAAGAGGGATTTCAGCAATTTGCTCCTTATTTAGAGTCACTGGGCGGGAAATGGAAGGCTGAGAAGTGAGGAGTGGAGAAGGAGGCCCCCCGACTGTGTGCCTGTGGAAGCACGCTGCCAGCTGGGCCTGGCGGGAATGCTGGCCTCCAACCCAGTGTGGAGTGTCCTGGTGGTGACCTAGGTACTGCTGGGGCAAGTGGTCCTGGCCAAAGGCAGATGCCCAGTGTCAGGGTCAGGAGCCAGCAGCCAAGTGCACAGAGGCTGAGTTGAATTGTGAGATGTGAGCAGGATGAGGCAGGACGTCCATTCCTACCCATTCCCATGCCCACTCTGCCCTCACCCTGGCTCCACATTCTTTGATCTTTTGAAATGGCAAAGGTAGAGACTTAACTCCAAAGAAGAGAGTCTGTCTGCCTTTTTCCCAGGAGCAGACCCCACAGAAAGGGCCTCTTTAATGAAATGCCCCAGACCAAGGCATGGCTACTCAGCAGGGCTTCAGTAGCTTGACCTATTACCTCTGAATATCACTCCCACCTCACTGCTGTCCCAAAGTTAGGGCTATATGCCCCCCAACCCTGCTTATGCCTCATCCGAATCCGGGGTACCACTTCCCAGCAGTCTCTGTGTGTGGAACCCCAACTCCATCTGTACCTGAGGAGGTCACGTTGCTCCCTCACAGGTTTGACAGTGAGCTCTCACAAGCGCATGAGGAGGCCCAGCGGGAGAAGCTACAGCGGGAGAAGCTGCAGCGAGAGAAGGACATGCTTCTTGCTGAAGCTTTTAGCCTGAAGCAGCAACTGGAGGTATGTGGTGCCACCTTCCACGTCCCATCCCCCTAAGAGGCTGGGACCTGCCCTGCACCAGCCTCATCTTCTCTTTTGCTCCAGGAAAAAGACATGGACATTGCGGGATTCACACAGAAGGTCGTCTCATTGGAGGCTGAGCTCCAAGACATTTCTTCCCAAGAGTCTAAGGACGAGGCCTCTCTGGCCAAGGTCAAGAAGCAGCTCCGGGACCTGGAGGCCAAAGTCAAGGATCAGGAAGAGGAGCTAGATGAGCAGGCGGGGACCATCCAGATGCTGGAGCAGGTGCTTGAGGCTTGGCCAAGGGAGGGAGGAGGCATGGCAGGAACCACTGTCATCCCACCACTAACCCAGGGTATGGGCCAAAGGAGTGCAAGATCCACATTCATTTATTCATTCACCTCTTCACTTATTCACTTACAAAATGTTGAGTGAGCACAGGATCTGTGCCAGCCACAGTGTGAAGACAATTAAGCTTTCCACAAAAACAAATCTTGATTGAGCTCTAGTAGTGAGAGGCTCAGGAGGCACTGCAGCCAGCAGGCCATGAGCTCACCCAGCCTGCCACTGAGCTGCCAAGTCCATTCAGGGAGCTAGAGCCTGCAGACCAAGTAGAAAAGCTGCAGGATTGTCCCCACCCCCAGCAGTCTCTCCCTGGGCCTGTGCCAGACATCTAGTCGGGGAATCCAGCTTCTCTGGAGAATCCTGCTGCCACTGGAGCAAAAGTGTGAGCAAGCAAAGGTAGAGATGTTCCCTGCTCCTAAGGTCAAACCCAGGCCCAACTCCCAATCACCTCCAGGCCAAGCTGCGTCTAGAGATGGAGATGGAGCGGGTGAGACAGACCCATTCCAAGGAGATGGAGAGCCGGGATGAGGAGGTCGAGGAGGCCCGGCAGTCTTGTCAGAAGAAGGTATGGTATCTGGGCCCTTATTTACCAGTATAAATACCTGTTCCTCCATAACGACTTAAAAGTGAGGGGCTTTGTTTCCCTGCTTAGTCACCCTATCTTCCACTGAGATTCTGGACCTAGAATCTCTTCTCAGAATCCCTGCATGGGCTGGGATGTGTCCCTTAGAGCCTACAGACTCTGCCTACCTGTCCTGCTCTGGGGGTGTCCATCACCAGCTAGCCTGGCCCAACAGGTCCTCACTCTGCAATGAGTTTTACTGTGGCCCAAGTAGCTGTGTGATCTGCCATCCCGTCCTCTTAAGCTTCTGTGAGACTCTAGGAATTTGGAGTTTGGGTTCTGACCTCTCTGGGGTCACCCATGCTCTGCCCTGCCCTACTGTTTTCTTGCGGTGGGAGACCCATCATGGAAGGGGACTGCCTGACCCTGGTCTCATTCCCCGTGGCACTCCAGTTAAAGCAGATGGAAGTGCAGCTTGAGGAAGAGTATGAAGACAAGCAGAAGGCGCTGCGGGAGAAGAGGGAGCTAGAGAGCAAGCTTGCTGCACTGAGCGACCAGGTACAGGGGCCCGCCATCTGCCTGTCCCACCAGCCTGGGGTTGAGAGGGCAGTCTTGGGGCCAAGAAGCTGGGATAGGTGAAGTTGAGGAGAGCTCTAGAGTCCCCACCTGTGCTGCTCTGGGGCTGTCTATCACCTATGGGATGGGGACATCCCCATACATTGGCACACCCAGGCCAATGTATGTTGGTTGGTGTGATCCTGGCGTATTCAGTATTCTTGCTCATTTGGGAGACCCTGAGAATGAGGGCAGGGATGAAGAGTGGACTTGGGGAAAGACAGGAGGAGGCCCTGTGGTAAAGCCCAGAGTACCAACTGCTGGTGTCTACCAGGTGAGCCAGCGGGACTTTGAGTCAGAGAAGCGGCTGCGGAAAGATCTGAAGCGCACCAAGGCCCTGCTGGCAGATGCCCAGATCATGCTGGACCACCTGAAGAACAACGCCCCCAGCAAGAGGGAGATCGCCCAGCTAAAGAACCAGGTATCTTTACTGAAAGGAAGTTATTGGTTCCAGGAACAAGGAAGCTTGTTTTTAG